CATCAAATTGACGGTTTTGAAGAGCGTAATCGTACCGCCGCTAGAGTACGCCGGAGAAGTATGGGAAGGAAATAAGAAGGTAGTGAAAGAACTCGAGGCGGCGCAGATGAAAGCAGCGAAAATCATCAAAGGATGCTCCAAGCGCACAAGTAATGCACCCGTCAGGGCAGAATTGGGGATCCAANGTATATATGTCCAAGGTAGCGGATAAGGGCAAAGCACGAGCAGGGAAGCTGCATCCAATACTCGCAAACCGGCACCTCGATACACGCATCAAATTGACGGTTTTGAAGAGCGTAATCGTACCGCCGCTAGAGTACGCCGGAGAAGTATGGGAAGGAAATAAGAAGGTAGTGAAAGAACTCGAGGCGGCGCAGATGAAAGCAGCGAAAACCATCCTAGGATGCTCCAGGCGCACAAGTAATGCAGCCGTGAGGGCAGAATTGGGGATCCAATCCCTACGGTCGGGAAGAGACGCGAGGAAGCTGACCTGGCAGTTTCGCATGTGCCGGATGGGAGAAGAGAGGTTTCCTAGGATTGTATGGGAGGCGAAGTGGGCAAACAAAAAGAGGGGTAGGCAACCCACGGAATGGGTCAAGGTTGTAGAGGACGTATGGAAGGGGCTCGACATCGACGAAGATGAAACGCTGGAAACGGAGGGTCTACAGGGGTTCAAGGAGAAGATATCTGTTGCTTGTGCCGAGAGAGAAGAACAGAATCTGAGGAAAGAATCCAAGGATAAGGAGGGTCTAGAAGTGTACGGAATGTTGAAGGAAGGAATAGGGTTCAAGGACTACCTACATGGACCAATGGATGCAGGAACAAAGCTTAAGGTCAAATTCAGGACCGGGGACATAGGCCTTCGAGAACGTCGACGAAGACATAGGACGGTAGACGAGGAAGACGACGAGTTCAAATGTGATTGCGGCTTCGAATGCGAAGACCGTGTTTATGTAGTCGCGGAATGTCCGTTGTAGAAGGAGAGGGAATTGTACGTGACTGAGCTGGGAAAAATCGATAGGACGTACAGGGAGATGTTTGAGGCATGGAATAGAGAGGAAAGGACGGTAGCTGTACTGAGGCATAGCAGGTGGGCACAAAAGGCGGGAAGGGATATCGTTAGGATAGACAGACTAGGGAAGACATTTTTGAGCCACCTTTGGCAAAGTAGAAAGGAACGATTGGCCATCGGTGATCGGTCCTGTGGGAACGATGCTCCGTCCTCTCGAGGAGGCGTGGTCAATGGTCTAACCGCTAAGGCATGCAAAACATGAGAGTACGCGCCCCCCCCCCACTCATCCCCTCTTGAAGGAACACCGTGAATGTTAGTCTAAACCAAAACAACAGAAGCAAGCAGATTACGCAAGTGGGGGGCAGGGAATAAGAGGGAGAGAGCGACATGAACCCACTGTTTCTCATGCTCGCCGTCCTCTCCTGATATCTTCGCAACAAACTCCGCGGGGGTACTACGTC